TAGGAGCATTACAAAAAATCCTTGTAGTATGTTGTTTTATTTAAAGGCTGAAGTATTAGTCTTTAATCAATGTATAATAGATGCTCTATTTATGTATTGTGGGCAAACTTTTTTAAACTGCTCTAATTTATATACTGTAAAATTCACCCATTTTAAGTTTTTAGTTCATTGATTGTTAGTACATTTATGGAGTTGTGCAGTGTCACCATGATCCAGTTTTGGAACATTTCTCTCATATTCATTTGTAGTCAGTCTCCACTCCCATTCCTTGCCCTAGGCAACTACTGATCTGTTTTCTGCCTCTAGATTTGTTTTTGCTGGAGATTTCATATAACTGGGATCCTATACTATATATTCTCTTGTTTCTGGCTTTTTTCACTTTACATAATGGTTTTGAGGGTCATTCATGTTGTAGCATATATTAGTAGTTTGCTGATTTTTATTGGTGAAAAAATTGCAAATTGTATTCCAAGCAAAACTTCCTTGAGAAAACATATTAAGGAGGAACCTGATAAATAATTTTAAACTAGAGATTACTCAAAGTGAAGTGCAATGAGAGACATTTTTACATACAGCACTCAAAATGTTGCCAAAACGCTCCTCATGTCTGATTTTTGCGTCACATGTACTGATGCCAAATTACAGCTATAACATCATATTGAGTGAAAGATACCAGACACAAAAAGTCCATACTATGTGATTCCATTTGTATGAGCTTCAGAAAGGAGGTAGCACTCATCTCTGATAACTGAAGTCAGAGTGTTGGTTGCTTTCTCTGACTCTGTGGAGTGGAGAGAGGTGGTTATTTCCTGGGAGGGGTTGGGACAGAGACTTCTGGGATGCTGAAAATACACCTACATAAAAGTTTATTGAGCCATATGTTTCTGATGGGTGCACCTTTTTTTTTTCAATAGGAGGTATAAAGGTAAGTTTACTGATAAGAATGAGTCAAAAGTCAGGGAAGAATTGATGATGTAGCTGCAGGAAGAGATAATTGAGTCTTTGACAAAGTAAGAAATGGTGAGATAAGGAACAGAATTGGAAATGTTGGCTTTTAGTACAATAGGGACAGTTCATCCAATGACGTATAGGAAAAGCAGAGAGAATAAAAACAGATGTGGAAAGGTTAGCAAATATGGTGGTGGCAAGAGGAAGGAATGCCTGTCTGATTTTTTTCTTTTCCTTAACACAAAGTAGTTAAGTTCACTAAAACATAATATATGTTATAAGGTATAAGGTGTGTAAAGGAAGTAAGCTAGATAGTCTTCACAAGACATTCTTTTAGGTATCTATTGCAGTTTAAGGAACTACCCCAAAACTTGGTGACTTAAAACCGTGATTTATTATTTCTCACAATTCTGTGGGTTAACCATGTGGCTATTCTTCATGTGGTGCTGGCAAGTGTGCTAAGAACATGGAAAATCCCATGGCTGGCAGTTGGTGGTGGCTGCCAGCTAGAAGCTCAGCTGTGGCCATCAGTCAGAAGTATTGGTTTTCCTCCATGTAGATCTTTTGATATGAATGCTTGGGCTTTCTCAAAGCATGGTGGTTTCAAGGGAGAAGGATTACATGTCAGTCAGTTTGTTTGGAGAGAATTTAGTATTAGAGCAGTTTCGCCTTTGGGGATTGGCACATTTTATTATATGTGAGTTATACATCAAAGTCCACTGATGATAAATGTTAGGGCTATAAGAGGATGTAATTAAGGGCTGAAAACCTGGTTTGGAGGACAGAGGCCATAGAGAGGGCTGTTTCTGGCTGCAGAGTATGCAGGTACTTAGTACATCCCTTAGGTTTACACTAATTCTGGGCTTACCCCCTTAGGGCTGCCTCATGGGGCCTCATTAGATTGGTGTTTCCATTGCTTTGGCTACCATATCCTTCTGATAATGGGATGCTTGATCTGCGGTACTGAGTTACCCTTTTTGGAACCTGCTTTGTCCTGTCTTAAAGATAATCGGTTTTCGGGCATTAGCCAAATGTTTTCAAACCACTTTAAGCTTTAGTATGTGGAACTTTGTAAAAATTAGGCGTTTACTTGGAGTTAAAACCTTTTGGTTTGTCTTTTGATGCAGTCTGGCTTTTCTTTCCTCAAATTGTTAAACCTGTTTATTTATTCATTTTAATTTTTATAGTGATTTGGGTGTAAGTTTACAGAGCAAATTCACTTGTCATACAGCAGCTCACATATACTTTGTCTCATGACATTGACTTTGTGGGCAGTTTCCCACAATGCAACAGCTCCCCTCCCACTTCCTCCCCATAGTTACCTCTTCACTCTGTTCTTCCCTCCCATACACTTCTGCTTCCCAAGCTGTCTCCTTGTGCATACACAGCCTTTCTATTCTCCCATGATTGATCTCTCCAAGGAGTATATCTGCCTAATGTAAATGTTCAGCTCATATACCTGTCTTTTGTTTGACTAGAAGCCACAGGAGTGGGTTCAATTCCAGACCTGAAGGGCAACTAGGAGCCATAGTCTCAGTGGTTCGTTCTATCAGGCTCTTTCAGACCAGCAAACATGGTCCCTTTTTTTTTCCAAATGATTTTGAGTTTTGTTCCCCATTGTTCTCCCACTCTATCCAGAATCTCCTACGTAGATCTCCCTCCGAGTGGCTGACAGTGGTAGCTGGGCACCATCTAGTTCTTCTGGTCTCATAGTCATATATAAGCCTGTTTATTTCTGAAGTAGTATTAACCAGTAACCATTTGCCATCAAGTCAGTGCTGAAGCATAGTGTGTTAGAGTAGAACTCCATAGAGTTTTCAGTGGTTCATTTTTTGGAAGTAGATCTCCAGGTCTTTGTCCAGGCATCTCTGGGTGGACTTTTTAGTTAGCAGCTAAGCATATTAACTTTTTACACCACCCAGAACCTAATGTGTCATTAGTTTTAACTTTAATTTTATTCTAAGATTAAGTATGACCCAAACATTTAACCCTCCTTTAGCGTATTAGTGGTACAAACATTTAAGCACTTGACTGCTAACTGAAAGGTTGGTGGTTCCACTCCATTCCCATGTGCCTCAGAAGAAGGGCCTGGTTATCTACTTCTAAAAAATCAGTGATTGAAAACTCTATGGAGCACAGCTTCTACTCTGGCACATAAAAATCAGGCATTGGAAACTATGGAGCATAGTTCTACTCTGACACAGAAGAGGTCACCATGAGTCAGAGTCAACCTGATGGCAACTGGTTTGGGTTTGTTTTTGGTTTTCAGAGTATACCTGCTCCTCACTTACTGACTGGCTCATTATCCAACATTTCAAATTTATGACAATAGTAAAAAATCTATTACCTGAGTACTTTTCTCACTACTGACACAACTTCTGGCTGTAAAGAATGCCAAGGTTCCTGATGGGGTCCCTGACTGGCAAATCTTGTGTGCATGTAGGAAGGAACTATTTCACCACTTGGGAGGGGGGAAGGGGACACAGTCTTCCTGAGGCCCAGGAGTACCAGGAGGAGTGGTAGGGTATCTGGAGTGGGGCCGATGGGGACAGAAGCAAGTCCTTGGGTGTCCATGGTGGGCTGAGGCCAGGGCAGCAGTAGTTAGTGTCCTGAAGATGGGTTGGCCTTGGGGCCAAGGAGGAAGCAGGACTCCAGGGTCTGGCCCCAGCTCCCAGCTCCAAGGGACAACAGGGGCAGGCTGGTCCATGGTCAAAAGGACCCCTGAAGACATGGCACTCGCTTGCCCAGGCCCTGTGGGGTCCCATGTCAGCTGATGTGCACCTGCGCAGCCCTCAAGGCTTTCTTGATACTCCCTCTTGGTTGGGCATAGGTGAGGGCAAGGCAGGCTACCTGTGTGAGGGAAGATCAATGGGTGAGTGGCCAGCAGCAGCTGTAGTTTAATGTCAAGGGTGGAGGCCGCGCCTTGGAGAAAGCTCTGGGTTATTGATTTTAATGGGGACAGAAGAGGGCATGGCTGTGTAGTGAGAACCAGGGGTTGCTCTAGTGAGGGACCAGTTGAGGGATCCAGTGATCAGCATGCACCGACCCCTTGCAGCACTCAGGCTCTCCCCCACCCATGGACAGAGAGCTCCTTGCCCCCAGCAAAGCCTCCTTGGGTATCTTTGGGTCATTGAGGGAATGAGCCAGGGCCATTCAGGGCCAGGATGAGCCAATGTGGCAGTAGGGTCAGGCTCTCCTAAGGCATTGTGGGGGTGGGGAGAGAGCAGTGGCAGGTGACCTCAGAAGGAACCAGCAGGATGCTTACAGTACAGATGAGAGAGTGATGTAATATGGTCATCCTCCATTTTTGCATATTGCTGATTTTCATGTAACCTAACCACGTTAGTAAGTAAGGAGTGAATGTATTAAAACTTTTTAAAGATGAGCCTGTGGAACATAAAATTGAGTCTTTTAAAATGTTTAATATCTCATACCCAATTACTTGTTTATTTAATTCAATAAATCATAAACAGTTACAACATTCAAAAGTACAAAAAAAGACTGCTGTTTGACTGAATAAATTTCTGATTGGTAAAGTGTGGAGAATTTCCTCAGGTGGCCAGTCATGCATGAGGAAGATTGATGCCTGAGCTTCATATCCCTTGGGCTCCACTTTTTCTCTGGTTTCTGGGCAGATGGTGGGAAGCTGTGTATAGCCTGCTCCATTTTGTTCCTCTGATCCCTAGAGGCTTGGGTACAAGTTTCTTGTATAATTTTGAGCTACCTTGCATTTTAAGTGTTGTAGATCATGTTTCAAGTTCCCATTGACATGCCCTTTGATTGCTGAGCTGTTTAAGGAGAATGGCAGGGTTCTGCTAACTTGCAACTTCCTTAAAGTAATTTCTTCCTCTTGTTCCCTATTCATCTTTCTTTTAAACTCATCTAAAACTGAGATTCATTGTTTATGCCTGGTCATTCCTGTCTAGAGGTTGTATCCTGTGACCCAGCAATCTGGGATTACCCATGAAGTGTGATGGCCAGTGTTAAGTCAAAGGCTGTGTATGGTACTTGAGCATTTTTGAAAGTGACAAGTGAATTCTCTGTCTCCCCAGCCAAGATGTTCCGGCGGGTGCTCACTATTGTGCAGGCCCACTGCAAGTTGGGCTTGACAGCCACTCTGGTCCGAGAAGATGACAAAATTGTTGACTTGAATTTTCTGATTGGGCCCAAACTCTATGAGGCCAACTGGATGGAGCTTCAGAACAACGGCTACATCGCCAAAGTCCAGTGTGCTGAGGTACCTGCCCCTTCCTGGTCCAAGGGTTTAGGTGGGCATCTCCAAGGGTGACACTTCCAGTGGGCCAGAGGAAATGGAATAGGTGGAGGCCTCCTGGCAGGCATGCTGGACTCATGCAGAACCATGCTGGTTGCCCTGTGAGGGACTCAGTACTATGTGCATTTTATCAATAAGTAGCACAGGGTAACTTGCCTAGGGTTACATAATTCAAAGATAAAGTCAGGATGCTATTCCAGGTTGATTTGGCTCCAAAGTCCGTGTGTCTCCTTCCCCTCTGAATGAACAGCCTTGGAGTGTCCTGTCCACCGTCAGGACTGGGCTGTTCCTGGAGAGCAGCCATTAAGCCATAGCATTCCATTGTCAATGCTGTTGATTTTGAGGCCTTGGATCATTTTATTTCTAAGAATCCATTTTCCCGGTATTCTTCTGTGGTGAATATCAACGTGTTGTTGTTGTTGTTATGTGCCGTCGAATTGGACCCAACTCATAGCGACCCCTCCTTGGGTTTCCGAGGCAGTATCACTATGGAAGTAGATTGCCCCATCTTCCTTCCAAGGAGTGGCTGGTGGTTTTGAACCAACAGCCTTCTGGTTAGCAATCAA